TTTTTTTTTTATTTCTAAAGACACGCAAGTCATTTTGTCTTAGACCAGTCATTTGAGTGTCCTGTACTGCAAAAATGTGTTCAGCGAGCTCAAATTTTTGGAACCACAATCCTTAACAAGCAGTTTCGTGTTCGCATAGACTCTTCTGAATGGGTCGGCAGGTCTCCCCCACATAAACCCTACCACATGAGCACAAAACCGTGTTACGGCCTGATCCAGAAAGAGGGTGTGAATATGCTCTAAACGAAACAACAGCTCAAGAAAGTGTTTATTTCTCTTTAGACATTGTTTTTATGTTCCGTTTTCTCAGTAGCATGGCCCTATTGTCTATCCCGCCCCAAATAGCACTTTCGATTCGAGAAGTTAACTTTACTCATTTGCAAGCGGGTAGAGTAAATTTGGAATAGGCAACCAAATCATTGAATGATTAATTAAGATCGCGAAATTAGGTTTAGTACATTTTTACTCTATTTCTTAAAGTATGGAATCTTGCTTCGATTATGTCTGTCACGGTTAAGTTGGCGCCAAGAAACCGTACCGCGTTTCTTGATCATGCTTTCGTTTCAATAATCTTCATACGCCATCTTCTGATCAGGTTTTATGCTCATACGGTAGTATTTATGTACGAGAGACGTGTCAACCCAATTGAGAATCCAGACTTTAGAGCAGTGGTTCGCAAACTTTTTCTAGTCGTGGCGCCCTTTTTCAATTGACATTTTTTCACGGTGCCATACCCTAATTTCGACTATTTATAAGTAAGAGATGAAAATAAATAAAACTCGTGTATCTCTATTATTTTTTGTACTTTATTGACAATAAATTAATATTTAATATTTAATGTGATGAATGAGCCTGCAAATCGTTGCACATCAAAGACCCGAGGCAGAGGGTAGAGCAACGCTTTAAAAGTGGCATGGATACGGTGGCAGCGAAAGGGTGAAATCACAGAAACAGGCGGTCAAGGGAAGGATCGAACGAAGTAAGAGGACCCGAAGAGAGAGGATCGCCGATCAAACGGCAGCCTCGGATCAACACTCCCGGCAGAGTGTGAATAGATTTCAAATAGGTCTGTTTAAGCAAGTAAGAAGTTGTGACGAGGATATGGGACGAAAGGAGAAATAGCACACATTTGGTCAGAGGATCGGCTTCATTTGTCTCTTTGACGAGTTTATGGTTTAAAAACCCCGAAGTTGCTCAGTCCATGGTCGCTACAAGACACCAACGTTTTGCCGGATATGACGATTTCACAGTTAAGCGGAAGATGAGGGAGCTGGTTGAAATTAACAAAATACAGAACTTCCTGAATAGAATGAATGAATGTAGGAAACTAAGTAAGAACCATCTTTGGCTGCTAAATAGAATTAGAGAGAGAGAGAGAAGACCAAGCTGTACTTTGTTTTTGAACCTAAAATTGCCAACCAAATTGTGGTTGTTGCACACACACACACACACACACACACACGAACACCAATCCGCGAAGTTCTAACAAATCCCAGGATTACAAGATCTGTATCACTTTGATCTACATACATGCATGTAGGACAAGCATGCAACAGCCAACCAAATCATACGATGCCGCATTGAGATCGCAAAGTGAGGTACAAGAAGTATCTCGGATCTCAGCTGGTCACCTTTCTTGGTTTGGCTTTTATGTTATTGTTCAGCAAGGATTCATCGTGGTCGTAGGGCCGTGTGCCGATGACCTGTTTGCACAAATCTACAATCACAGCTACAAGGCAATCTCTCTACAGCTTCCGGTGACCAATTCTTTTCACTCGCATCTTCCAGCTAAATCAAATGTGTTGTTAGGGGCACCTTCATTTCGTATGAAATTGCATGAAAAGAGATTCGTTGAACTGCAGCTCTCAGGAGATTCATCGAAACCAAATTTCTTTTTGTGTCTAAATTAAAGATATTCCAACTTCAAATACCTTTAAGTGTTTTTGTATGTCTTTAGCCGGCAAAATAATACTAAAAATATGCAAGTTTATCTGTTTGTTAATACGCTTATAGCATAATCTGTTGTCATTCTCTATTCTTTTTATAAACATTAATCCTCGCCAACGACTCGAAAATCATTTTATCCTCTATCAACGTTGACTCACTTCGCTTAATTTATTCTTTTTCATAGGCCTTTTCACAAAGCCCCATTTCACAATCTCATGCTGACATAAAACTGTACGGAACAAGCCCGCCGGTACCGCCTCGGCGGCTAACCTCATCTCGTCTTCTTCGTGAGGCGTCAGTTTGGTCTTGTCGCGCAGCCTCCGATCGGACGTCGTCTGCAAACTATAACAATGTGACATGTGGTGGCAACAATTTTGCTAATACCGATCAGCCGACCGTTGCCGGCGCAAACATGCCCACCTCAGCGGCACAAAGTGGCACGGAAGCAGCTTATGGTAACCGAGAAGTCATGCTGAAGTCATTCAGAACATGTGATACATGCGCTTCCCGTACGGGGCCTACTCGGAAGGGTGTCAGCAACAGTGCCGTCGCTATGGATCATGTTTGTCCGAGCCGAGAATTGCGCTTAATTAGCAGTTGGCCCTCAAGCATCGCTCGACTCGAAGATTGCAATCCTGCACAAGAGGCAGTTGTTGTTGGAAGAAATGATTACTTGCATTTGAACAGTAGTGTGAGTTTAATGCCAAAAATGTTTTGAACCACTATAGCGCTAGGCCATTTTATACTCGTTTTAATTAGGATTTCGAGACTAACAGTAGACCAGTTTTTCTACAATGAATTTATTTAGTCTTTTTTTCGCAACATGTATTCTTAGAATCGAATCCGAGTTGCGGTTGTGCGATGTATACATTCGAAATTCTACCACCACGACGTACTGTTAGTGAGTGAATGTCTGTGGATGACAATAGACAATTGTGAACACAAGCATGCACATACAAATACAGAGACACACACATTCACATGCATACAAGTTGACATATGACCTTTACTAACCGAATCACCTTATACTCGATCAAAGAGGTCAGATGTACAGTATGTATACCACTTTTTAGGGATTTGCCGGTGAGTTTTCTTGACTCTTTGTCTTCAATTTGGTTATGACGATGTTACCTCGCTCTGATGATGTCCGTCTTCTGGTGGAGCCGACCTTCGAATCTCTTCACCCAACACTTCCACTCGAAATGGAAGTAAGCTCAACAATGATGACATTAGACACGTTGATTTCCCAGAAGGCCAGGCCTCTCTTGGATCACATTTGTATGGTGGAATGGTGACTGAAGCTGGTGGGGTTAAGGCACCAAATAGCGTATTTTTTGTTTATAAATAGGGTTTAGAGACTACCAGTTAATCAGTTATATGATATGTTTTGTTGTTGAATTTTCCCTCAATTATATGAGTACATAACGGATTTACTGGTAGACTCGAAGCCCTACTGACAAAGGAAAAATAAGTAGTGTAGTCGATTGTCATCACAAATATCACTTTGCTTCATCGGCAATTACAACAGAGGATCTGTTAAGTGCACAGCTGCCCTGTGACCCAAGGGCCCTCGTGACAATGTGGCGTAGTGGTTGGCTGGTCTGGATTGCATGCTGCACTTTCATGGTTCGAGTCCCGCTGCGGATGCTGACAATGCCTGGGCGAGGTCGAAACTACAATCCATCCTGGGTGGGAATATCTTTTGGGAAGTAAGGATATGTGAAATTCACTTGCGGCGTCACTTCTGCTCATACCATTGTGGGAAATTTCATTCACAAATGCGTCATGACCTTAAACGAAATAGGGCGAATAGATCTTATATTAATTACCCAAGACTTCAAAGGTTCATTTCGGCTCTATAGTTGTTTACTTACAAATGTCCACTGCCTTAAAACTCATTTGCATCATTGCTGAGCTTACTTCCATTTCGAGTGAAAGTGTTGAATGAAGAGATTCGAAGCTCGATTCCACCAGAA